GAAAGAAAGAAAGAAAGAAAGAAAGAAAGAAAGAAAGAAAGAAAGAAAGAAAGAAGGGGTGATAGGAATGTTTACAGACACAGGCTAGCTAGGAAGAGAGGTGAACAGTAGAACACGCACAATAAATGAACTTTGGTAAACCCACACAGAGATGCAGTTTTTTTTAAAATTCAGTCCACATCCTTAGTGTATGTAAAGACGTGTGCTTTGACATAATATTGTTAGACATGTAGTGCATGAGAAGGAAGGTTTAGGTAGTAAATGTCGGTAGTGGAGAAAGAGGAAAGCTCTTGGGATTACTAAAGGCTTGGTCTGCCACTGTGTTAGTCTACCAGTGACCCAGTCTTAGTTTTAATTTTAGTAAGAGTTTTACGGCACTTGCAACACAGTAAGGTCATATAAGTGCCGAATATTAGAGGTGTTACAAGAGAGTAACAAGCTCTAAAAGAAGGAGAGGAGATAGAGACGATAGATTTTTTATAGGAAAGAAGGAGCAAATGACACCAGAGCAGCCGCTAACCACCCACCCACCCAGACTACATATCTGTTGCACACTGCAGGAGACTCGAGTTCGATTCCCGAGAAGGGAGACATTTTTATCGAGTATCTCGGGTCTTTCTGCTGGGATCTTGTATCCCTATCATCTCTGGCTGGGATGGAAGCTTTTCACCTAAATGATCAAAATTGTTTCGAAGGGGAAGTAAAATTAGTTACATTTTTTAAAAGGATAAAAGGACAATAGATGCTTGAAAGGAAAGGAAGAAGCACACAACACACGAGCGCCCGCCAACCACCCACATAGAGATGCAAAACAAAAACCACAAAAAAATAAACAGAAGAGAAGTCCCGAAGATTGACGAGGTAAATAAAAGTCCTACCTGTGTGCATTGTAGCCAAGGTGAGAATCACACAGTGTAGGAACGGTCCAGTAGAAAATCGTCCCATTCCCGAATAGGCGTATTATTTCCCGTGCACGGAGTGAAAAAACCCGATTTCTCTGCTTCGAACATGCTTTCATCCAGAGCTCATATCCCGACGGACGGCAAGCGACAGGTCAGCAGGTGGAGTCTCGGGTATCCACAAAGTCTGATGACGTCAGCTACCAACATAGCAACGACGACAACGACAACAACGACAACGATGACGAAGACGATGATGAAGAAGGCGACGATGACTCAGGTGCCAAGGTGCGGCGCCGATTGCAGTAATTAGAACCCTTGAGAGCGGAGGTGGAGTGTTTCAGGTATCCACAAAGTCTGATGACGTCAGCTACCAACACGGCAACGACAACGACGATGACGAAGAAGAAGGCGACGGTGATTCAGGTGCCAAGGTGCCGGCGCCGATTGCTGTAATTAGAACCCACAAGCGAGAAATGAGTTTGTGGTGGACACAGCACTGACCACAGGGAGACGTGAGTGTGTTAAAGTGTGTACAGACCGCGATAAGACAGTCGTCCAAACAAGTGTCCACTCCGACCTGACACGTCTGCTCTCGTCCGAGAGGTCAGGGGTCATGTCGCGCCCTCACGATCTGGCCTGGGAATGGCGCCCTCTACCCTCAGTCATGTCGTCTGCTGGACGCGATGAGGGGCGGACGTCGACTGGTCAGTCTGGGGAGAACAGAGATAAGACCAGAGACCATTGGATAAGACGCTATGCCACTTACGTTGACAAGCAAATGCTCGCTTTAAAGTACAAGAAGGCAATCCCGAAAAATACTGTTTTGAGAAAATCGAAGGTAAAGTTATTGGACCCTAGTTCAGTTTCTTTAAAAGAAAAGGAGAGTTTTCTCTACAACCAAACAAATATATACACATCCACGAAACCAAACTTCTCTTATAGGTAGGGCAAAGCCCACTTTCGGAGTCGAATCAAGATTTCTGGAAACCCCCGAAATCTGGGTTAGCCCGCTTGTCCTTAAAAGCGACTAAATATAGATTGCAAGTATAATTTAAATAAGAAATGCTGAAACTATAAGAGTTAGTTTTAGTCAGAGTTTTACGGCACTTGCAATACATTAAGGTCATTTTAGTGCCGAAGGTTAGAGGTGTTACAAGAGAGTAACAAACACAAATAAGAAAGAGGGGGGATAAAGGCTATAGATGTTTGATAGGAAAGAAGAAGCAAACCACACCAGACTACCCTCCAACCACTACAACCTATATAAGAGAGGAGCCTGCATACATTCACAAGTGGAAATAGAGCATTTAAATGTTTAAAATGTGCCAAACTTTTCTCTGTCAAAGTTGTGGTCTTATTGTCCATAGAAGTCACAAGTCATCTTAAACTTTAATTCTTCTAATTCGTATATTTCGCTGGAGAAATATTATTCTCCTCTATGAATGTATTGGTCATCGTCAGACCTTGACGGACTAGCTTTTCTCACAATACGATGTGTAAAATATAGCGCTCAAGGCCATACAAATTAAAAAAGCTATGTCCCAAGGAAAGATCGGGGAAACGTAGCTTTTTTGAGAGCATCCGAGCAAAGGAATGAATGGAAAACAATGATCGCCGACATCTGTTACAGATCTGACACTGGATGATGATGTCGCAAGCACTGTGGCTTAGTAAGTTTTGAACGTCAGCTGCTTTGCGAGGGTTAAAGGTTCGAATCCGGATGAGTTAAGAATTGCTGTTCCAGTCCTTTTCAATGTATTTCATGCTAGTTTGGTATCACGACAGGGAATCAAGGGATACGCATTCGAAACTATTTAGGTTGTGTCTAACGAAATGTTCAATACAAAAAAACTAAACAGACAACTTCAACAACAATAACAACAACAACAAAAACAACATCATCAACAACAACAACAACTACAACAACAACAACAACAGCAACAACAACAACAACAACAACAACAACAACAACAACAACAACAACAAAAGCCTCAACAGCTACAAAACAGCAACAGCAACAGCATCAAGCACAGATACAAAAGCATCAGCAACAGCAACTACAACTACAGCAACAGCAACAACAAACAAACAAACAAACAATATTCATGAAAAGGATGAACTTTAAGGAATCGGGAAGTTGGAGTGGAGGGTAAATACCTTAAAAAACAGAAAAGTGGACTAAATTTCAAATAACCAAAATGTTTCTAAAATTGGTATGTAAAGTAGAAACACAATCACAAATCGAAAAGCAGAAAACAGTAGTTACATTTCCAACTGAACACGGCGTAAGTTGGCAACACTTCACGTTTATCCAGGAAAGAAAACGTCCCGCTTTCAGTAGCACGTTTAATCAGGTCTTATTTCAATAATAATGTAATTCTATTATTCTGCACTTTAACCAAGGAGAGCACGGACACCTAAACCGGACACTACACTGGACACTAATAGTGGTCTCCATCCACTTCGAATTGGGTGTGTTAAAAGGTAATTAGTCATTATGAATATACAAGAAAACCTGTCCCCAGTAACATTACTTGTCCCGTAGCGATTTGAGTACAGAGGTGCGCCTGCCGTTGCCCTGAATACGTCATGTATATGTTTCTACATAATAATTGTTGTGTAGAAAGGGCAGAAAGTCACGGGCTATCGTTGTTGTGAATCGCCCCCTCCCCCCTTTGCACCCATGCTCCACGCCCCACCCATCCCATCACTTCCCCGTCTCTGCACAACATGGGGATCACTAATCGTTTAAGCTGCAGGCAGTCCTATAATCCCTTGTTGCCGAGCTGAAAATTTTCGCCATCGACTCTAGCTCGGACCCCCCTGTTGACATCTCATGATTTGGCTCATTTCTTTGGATTCTTATGAACTTTCAACACCCCTGACAGTACAATTATAAAAGACAAGTGTTGCATTTTACCAATTAATAATGGCTTTTTTACAGGTGATAAAATCATTACGCCTTCTCCTTCCATCGGTCGGCAGAACAGATTCGCCACTAGGGAAAGGCAGCTTCTCACTCGTCAGGATAGTAAAGGAGGTTGGTGAGTCCATAATCTACCATACAACATCACAATATTGCCCTATAGTGACAAACCTGCAAGAGAAACTTAGTTAATGAGACTAAGAATTCATTCCATTAGTTGGATCTGCAAAATGAGGTCTGATCGGAGATTTGAGATAAACAGTGTGCCTACGTGTCAAGCATTAAATGATTTGACTAATCGATAGTGGTGCCAATATGGAAGAAAAAGGGCAGCAAGAAAGACTGCAACACCTATAGAGGCATATCTCTTCTCAGACTACATATCTGTTGCACACTGCAGGA